TACATACATATGTGTGTAACTTGGATGTAAACCAACGTATCTATTAATAAACCAATCGCAAAGGACTCAAAGGAATAGTGAAATCAAGTTTCAGAATTTGGAGCGAATTACTATTAACTAAAAAAGATTTTTTTGCACAACTTATTCAAATTTTTCAGAAACAATAAAAAAGACAAATTGTTTGATGTATTTTGTTAAAAAAATTTATTTTTATAAATTCAAGGTGCATACATGGCCAACTTATAAAAAAACTATTTACATTAGTTAAAAATTGTGTTTCAACTAAAATGCAGTAAAATACATTAAAATAATATTTTTATTTTTTAATTTTGTTTACATTATTATTAATATTAGTAGATAGCGTTAATTAATTAATATTTCTTTATAATTACTAAATTTTTAATTTAACTATTTACAATGCTCTCTTACTGTTATATTTAAAGAGCAGCTACATATTTTTAATTTATGAGATTTTTTATATTGTCCATTTTATTACCTTGCCTCTTGCCAGGTTGCCAAATATGCAAGTGTTTTATATAATTTCTAAATACATATAGATACATAATAATATTGTTTAAACATATACCTATGCAAGTTATAACGTATATTAAGAGAAAATGGAGGTATTGCAATCAGACGTATAAACAATGTATGAATATAAAAATATATTTATGCAACAAATTAATGTGTATATATTTTTAGCTGTACAGATAATGTTAATACAATTATTTATTTAAAAATTATTTTTAAATTTAAACTCATATGTTTTCATACATATGTATATAAAAAACAAAATGAAACCAAAATTTTATATTAAACTTGTCCAAAAGATCAGAGGCTGAGATTCAAAATGAATGTGTATGTTTAAATGAACACTTAAAATTTAATTTATTTAGATACATATTTTTTATGTATCCTAAGGAAAAATTAAAGTTCTTTGTCTTAAAACTAAATATTGTAATTTTATAAATTTACACAAGGCAGCTGATTTAAAATAGAAAACTTTAGAATTCCTAAAAGACTAACTCTATAATTGTATATCGAGCCCTAACCGCCAAAAAAACGTAAGCGACTTTTTTTTAAATGATCTTAGATCATATAGATGCATTTCTGCATCAAAAACAAAATTTGAAGAAAATCCGCTTATGTTTTTTGGCGGTTATATATTTAAGATTCTTAAATGATTTTATTTTTCCTACATACTTAAACAAAAAGAATAAAAAAAAGTGAAGAATATGTGCAGATCTTCAAGTACGGTGTCAAGCAAGTATGTAATTTGTTAAGGTAAAAAATAAGTAAATTCTCAAAAGGCTGTATTGATTACAGGAAACTGAGCAGCATAAGAAAAGTCAATGTGGATTAATGATTCACAGAGAAAACTGTGCTGCTGCGATGCTGCGGTGCTGAACGATTCTTGCACTAGGTTAGGTATTGGGCTAAATATTTTAAATTTACAAACACAAAGTCTGGTCGCCTGGCAGAAATTCCATAGTGAAGTACCGAACTGAAAACCCAGGATGGTGATTAAAGCATATTTTTAGGGGCACACCGTTGACGCATGCTTCCTAATTTTTCTGAAATGGTCGATCACCGGATGTGGAAAATTCAAGCCAAAGATTGTAGTATATGCTAAGGCGCAGCGCACTAATCCAGTGAAGAAAATTCTTCCGCTGACGCTTGCTGCGCAATTTTGCTCGCCTGGTAGAAATTACAAAATTCAGCACCAAACTGAATTTTTCTGAAATGGTCGATCACCGGATGCGGAAAATTCAATCCGAAGATTGTAAAATATGCTCAGGCGCAGCGAATTTACACAGAGAAAAAATTCTTCCGCCGGTGCTTGCTGCGCAATACGGACAATTAGCAGGCGAAATACCTAAGGAAAAAAATCCTCCACGAAATCTACAAAAAAATAAATTTTCCGCTACTGGCTTCTTAACCAATTCTGCTGGGGTATTTTTTTAAAAAAAGTTAAAATAATAAGTTTATGGAGTTTTTTGTGCTTTCTTTCTTCTTATTATTAGATTTCTACACTTTCCACACATTAACATAAATAAAGTCTAAACTAGGTAGCTTTTTTTGCGGTTTTTAGTTACAGGTTTATTTTACATTTTCGACTTTGGAATTCCGCGCACAATTTACCAGCTCTTTTAAGTCACACATACTATTTTTTTAACTTTCTAGGTTTCCCTTGAATTTACTTATTTTAATTTAGCTAAGTATTTTAACACTATACGTATCCCTTGTTTCATTTTACATTGTTTCTTGTTACGCTTACACAAATAATTCGCTTATAGATTTGCAGGAAATTCTTCGAGAAATAATTTCGACAATTGCCGAAGTATTTTTTTACGAATATTAATGCATAACGTTTGCTTGTAAGTAGTAGCACAGAATAAACAGTATACAGAAGACGCACCACATACAAATTTATTTTTCTTCGGCGGACGTAATATTACAACCCGGACCAGAGCAGAGAAGTTAACATTACGACCACTATGAATAACATGGCGACCCGGAACAGAGCAGAGGAGTTAACATCACGTCCACTATGAATAACATGAAGTTAACATCTCGCCATAAACACACATCGTGATCAGCGTCGCCGCGAGCTGGAAAAAAATGTATCAGTTGCCAAGCAGAAAAAGTATCAAAAGCAAACAAAACTGTTGTTTATTAAACTATTATTTAAAAAACAAATAATAAATAAAATTTTATAATTAAATCCATAGTTATAAAAAAAATTATATATCTTGCTTTTGTCTGCTTATTTGCATAATGAAAAACAAACTTATAGGGCCCCTAAACCACACAAAATCCTTGCGCAACCCGAGACTTGTACAAGTCAATATTGTGGAATTTACTACAGCATAAAATTGCGCAAACCTTATTTTGACGAAACGTTGCTCAAGTAAATATGTGCAAGAAATATGAATGTGCGTTGTATATATTGATAGCTTCATCTTTAAAACGTAAAAAAAAAACTAAATTCAAAAAAATATATTTTTTTCGATATTTCGTAATGTTTTTGTGTGGTTTAGGGGTCCTATAACAGTTATAAGAGTTACCCAATCAACTTATAAATATCTATATATAAATTGTGAGACTTCAAATAACAATAAAAAAATATTAGCCTTTAGACTAGTAGTACTATTCATAGTTTTCGAAAATTCATTTCTGCCAGCCGAAAGTATCAAAATACGGCATTTGGGAACAAAAAAAGGATCAGATATTAAAATTTAGAAAAACAGTATTAAAAAATTACAATTGTACCAAAACGGCAACGCTGATCGTGATGGAAAACGTAGTTAACATCTTGTCGTCATAGCGACGATGGAATTGTAGTAGGTATGTATTGGTGTTGGTCTATGCATGTTTGTATGTATGTACGTGTTTATAACCTAATACTAACATATACCCTTGTTTCGATTTATCGCTGCTATCATATGTATGATTTTAGCTTTGTTTTTTTTTTGTTTTACATTTATTGCGACGCATGCGCCCTCTTTCGCCGCACTTAAATTAGTTCTGTAACGCTTTAGCGTTGACTATCATACTTACGGTGACCATATTAACCAACGTAAAATAAAGGACTTTTTTCAAAATGATTTGGGAATACGCACATACAACTTGTATGAGAAAAGTACCTTACCCATACCGTAATTTAAATCAAATATTTACCAGTTAATTATATTATTTAATTGTACAAGTTCCCCTGCTGTAGCGAAAAACTAAGCCAAATCCTTTTCAAGGCCTTCGCCATCCTTTGCCACCAAAATGCGTTTACCATAATTCATACTGCACAACGAAGCCAGCACACAGTGGTTCAAAATTGGAATTGAATGTTCATAAATCACCGCAGCCTTAATTTTTCAACCAATTTTTACTAAAAACAAAAAAAAAAAATATTTATTTTGGTGAAAATTTTTTATAACATTTCAAATTTTTGTGTAATTTTTTCATTTTGGGAAAACCATACAATTGTTTTCAACTAGCGTTTGCTATGTAACATTCATGCACTGGAACAGGAGGACACATTTTCTTCAAAATTGCTACTTTTTCTGCATTTTGCAATAAAAAATTTAATATAATTAAATAAAAATTCACAAATCAGGCTCAGGCAAAATAATTAAATTAAGTGAAAAAAATGAAGGCTCCAGTGAATTACGAACACTAAATGCCAGTTTTTAACCACTGTGCAGCAGGGGGTTTATTGTTATCTTTCAGTGGAAGTGGAAACTCAGAGTGCAACACGATCCTGGGCACAACTCTCTCTGTGCTTATAGATTGTACAAAGATTACCGATTAAGTAGAAACCCTTAAGTGGGGTGCGAAACAAACTGGCGAAGGTTTTTATTATATTTTATAAGGGATATTTTTATTTTTCATATTCTGTGTTTAAAATTTTACCTCTGAAAAATGCAGAGCTGATTTAAAGGACAGTTTAAGAAATAAAGGACAAAAGGCGTACTTTATTTTGAAAAAAATTATAAAGGACAGGGGGTTAAAATAAAGGACTGTCCTTTAAAATAAAGAACGGATGGTCACCGTAATCATACTATACGCGCTTCACCTTCTCCATTGGATTTGATTTTATTTCTTCTGACTCCCCGTTTGTCGCTTTTGCTGCTTCTTGATTTCAATCCTTGTATACTCATTCTCCACTCGCCACCTTTTAAACTAATTTCACATAACTACTGTAGTTGTTGTTGAGGCAGTAGCGCAGCTCACCTTCGGCATCCACACTCACGCCTACTAAGCCTCCGTCCTCCTTACCTGCGCTGCCCTTAGCACCCACACCCACTTGCCCACCCGGGAGTCATACATAGACTACATGTGGCTTGGCCGCCGTGCCGCCACCACTGCCTTTACCCATCAGCACCACGCCATTGCCGCTGCTGGCATTTCCCTCTTCATTGCTGGACATCAGCTGTACCGCCTGCTTCGACTTGCCCAACGTCTGCATGTCCGGGTAATCGTAGTGGTCAAACTTTTCGTACAAATGTTCCGGCTCATCGCTGTACGCATTCGCATCCTTCACCGGCGGCACTTCCCACGGCTTCAAGGCACGATACTCATTGGCGATCGCCTGCGCCGCCAGGTACCGTTCCAGTTCAAGCTTATCCACTTGTGTTGGCAGCGTTTGCTGATACTCGTGCGGGTGCAGCGGCAGCATGGCATGATGTGTGCCACCCTGCTGCTGCAACGTATGATGTGGATAGGTGAGTCCACCTACCCCCATGCCCAGCGCGCCGCCAGCGCTCAACGGCTGATGCTGCAATATGCGATCGTGTACGTTCACAATCGATTTGCCGGAACGTGTGAGTGAGCGGTCGTGCAAGAGCTTTCGGCGTCGCTTGACAAAGCGCAAATAGAACACGATGCTGGCGCCGATGGCTAGCACGAGCAGCAGTGTGAAAATGGCGCAGACGATGGTGACAATATGCGCGGGGCAGGTGATTTGTCCCTCGGACATGGTGGCGAGGCGGCGGCGTATGCGCACATTGTCCTGCCAAATGTCGCAACCAATGCGGTCGTTGTCGAGTTGTAGATAGCCAGTGGTGGCGCTACTGCTACTTGTTGCTTGCGTTGGCTTGTGTTTTTGCTGCGCCACATATGCGGCGGCGGCGGCTTCCTGCGTTGCACTAGCATCGGCTGCACCCAACGCCGCTACTGCCGCTTCGCCCTGTGTGTGCGTGACATGTACGCCGCTGGCTTTATTCGTTTCGCCATCAAAGTTGCCGGTGACAAGACGCCACAGCCAGAGCAGTGAGCAATTGCATTGCAGCGGATTGTCGCCAAGGTAGAGACGCTCCAACTGGTCGACGGGGAATTGTGCGGAGTACAGGGTTTGCAAACTGTTGCCTTGCATGTAGATCTCGAGCACGTTTGGGTTGCCCTGGAACAGGCGCATGGGGATGTCGTAGAGCTGGGGGTTGTTAGCGAGATGGAGCACTTGCAGGTGTGTGTTATCGATGAAGGATCTAAAGAGAGAGAGTGATAGAAGATAACATTTTGATTAGTCGAAGTTGAAGTAAAGCTGGAAAATACTAATCAATATACATATGTATATAAGTAAAACTCTTAGTGAAGCTTAAATTTCACTGTATAAGTTTGTTTCGTCTTACGAGAAAGAGCTTGCGTATGGGATCGTTCGTAATATTTGCTCTTATCTTTACCCTATTTAGAAACACAGGGCAACTCTGGCTAAGATAGATAAGGTAGTTAGATAGTTAGTTAAACATAGTTCATTTAATTTAATTTAATTTTTAGAATCATATTTTATTTATTTCTTCTTTTTTTAATTTAATGTGTATTCCCTTTGCTAATATAATTTTTATAAAACTTTTTTGTTTTATTGTTTTAAAAGAAAAATATTTGTATACATATGTATTTGTTTTATTTCATTTAATTTTTAGGGACTTATTTAATTTTTTTCTTTTACTTTAGCTTAGTTTTCTTTCGAATCTTAGATTTTATTATTTAAAAGAGTAAACATTTTTTTAGTTTTAAATTAATTGTTATAATTTTAGTTTATTTATTTTTTCATGTAATTTTTTTTCTTGTATTAATTAAATTTGCTTTTAATTTTTATATTTTAGTGATATAAAAAGAAAAGTATATGTTTGTTCTATTTCATTAAATTTTTAGCATATTATTTCATTTTTTTAATTTTTCTTTTAAATATTTTTTCCCTTGATTGTAAGATTTTATTTTAACTATAAAAATGTTTTTTTTTTTTAATTTTATTTAGTTTTTAAATACTACTTTCTTCGATTTTAATTATTATTATTTCTTTCTCTAATTAAATTTTTAGATTTCATTTTTTCAAAAAGATTTTTTTTAATTTCATTTAATTTTTAAAAATATTTTTTTATTTACTTCTTCATTTTACATATTTTTTATTTTATTTAATTTTCTTTTATTTATAAGTTTTATATACGCATGTATGTACATATGCTTTATTTTTATTTATTTAATTTAAGTAAAAAAAACATGTTTCTGAAAGGTGAACAACATTATGCTAAGACCTCCTCATTGGCAGATCTTACAATTAGTATTTAAAATTAGTAAAGAGCTTTCAAGCTATTGATATTGTTCGATAGAGCTATCGATATTAATCGATATCCCTATCGATATTTATCGATATAGCTTTTTTAATTTGCCATTGGCGCCATAAATATTTTATGACGCATTTTGGTTTATGACCTTTATAAAGACGGCATTTTAATTCATCGTATGCCCTACGATTATTAGAGAAAGGAAACAAAATCTTAAGTCACTTCACTTCACCTTAATAAATCATTGAAAATAATTATTAACTAAAAGCAGAACCAATGAAAGGAAACTCCAGTGTTCATTCGCAAAATAAATGTATGCCACTAAATCTACAGCAAGTTGATTGCAGAGTCGCATATTGTTGCAGCCACACATTGAACAATGTTGCGCATGTTGTTAATGGCATTGTGAAAACACATTTCATACAAAAGCGCATCGACTTTGTTGTTTTTAACATGAATTTCTACTACTTTGTTTATATGTTTGTACACATGTATGTGTGCATATATCTTGTTGTTCTTGCTGATGTTGTTTTTCTTGCCATTAGTTTTCTTACACAATTCGCCTCGTTTTCTTTATTACATAAGAAAATATGTTGGAAATTAATTTCAGTTGCAAGAAAATGCTTCACTACACTAAATTAATTGCCAGTGTGCATAGAACACAAGTAAAAGCAGCAACAGTATCTAGCAATAGCAGCAGCAAAAGGAGCAACGAGCGCTAGAGCTTTGTTTTGAGTGCTGCACATATATGTACTTACTTGTACGGCTATGTGCTGTTAAATAAATATTGGCACAATGTATGTCTGCTTGCGAAAACACTCACACATGCCATTTTGCTTTTCTTGAGAAATCTCACTCTTTACTCCTTAAACTAATAAGGAAATTGTAACAAATGACATTGCTGCCACACCATTGCAGCTGCTATAGTTGCAGCTGCATTCCACTTATCGGAGCTGGCATGTTAAGACTGACGCATAAGCTTACTTGAAATTTCCGATTCGCATACTCTGTCTATGACAACTGAACCTCCCAGTTATGGCTGGTCTAACTACATAGTGTTAGTGCCTGTTTAAAGCTAAGTGCTCATGTGTTAGTTTAGCTGCTTGGCGACAAAGAGTAATGCAGCAATTTCAAATGAAATAAAGCCAAAATGGTAGTAATTGAAGACGTTGCTGCAAGCACTGCTGATATGCCACATTTATGCAGGTGCACAGTGGTGATGGATTAGCGTTTCGGTAGAGAGTTTTTCACGGAAGTTGAAAATAAATTTGGGAAATAGTAGAATTGAAATAATACGTTATTTTGTAAGATTGACTAAAGTTAGGTATCAATGCGAAACATTTAGTGGAAAGGTGCAAGCCTTTGGTGACTATTTTACTTGTTTTAAGAAGTGTGCTCAGACCGTCGCTCGTAAGCAGGCGGTTGTTCATGGTATTTGGGTAATTCGTTTTTTTCTATGCTAGATTAACTTAGGTTAGCTTGACTGACTTGAAATATCGCATTTAGATCACCAACTGTGGCCTAGGGTTGCCAAGAGTTGCAAGTTTTAACCATTTGCTACACATAAGAAATGTTCCATTGAAGCCTTGGAGTTACATTTATCATAACGCATGCATTATTTCAATTAATCATAATTCTTTTAAAAGAACTTTGGTGTGTCAGAGCTATGATTAATTCAAATTATTTAAAATATTAAAAATTATTTAAAATATTAAAAAAAAATCATTGCAATGTAGAATAACAACAAGGGTACCAAATAAAAGAGAAAATTCTGCAGAATTAAAAAAATTTAAATTTTTTGGTTTACAGGGATGAATAATAGGTATCGAAAATGCCATTTTAATAATTTTTTTTTAAGCGGTCGAGTATATATTATTATATTTTTTGTTAATTGTTTTTTCAAAAATAATTGTTGAAAAATTTTAAGAATACTCAACGATAAAATTTTGAAAGGACATTTTTAATACCTAATCGTCCTTATGCACTTAAATATTTCATCGGCTTTAATTCTAAGGAATTTTTGCCTTAATTTGATACCTAGGCTGTTTCTCTACATTGCACTGAATTTTTCAATAACTTTTTCAAATAATGGTTTTTTTTTAAATTTCACAATTTTTTAAACAATCCTGACGCGTCGGAGAAAAAAACTAAAAAATTCTGTTTTACCAATACCCCTATTGCGAGTGTTGACTGGTAGTAGATAAACGACTATTACTTGATTATCGAGGCTCCATGGTATTGTGGAGGTCGATATCTCATTCAATAAGCGACTGTGAATAGTTTTTAGTCGCTCATCCGTCTATATAGAAATAATTGTAGAAGGATGAGCGACCAAAAAGTATTCACACTAACTTATCAATAGTTCAATTTAATCAATTGATAATCAACTAATAGTCGTTTATCTACTAGTAGTTGACATTCGCAATAGGGGTGTATATATGGCTTAAGTTGCAGTCCTTAACATTAAAAGTAAGGTGACAAATTCCAGCGAAATTTTCTGGACCGTACTAATGTTATTTTTGAAGTATTATATATAAATTAGGGTGGCCCGAAAAAATAGCAACAACTAACTTTTTTAAAAGGCACCCCATTATTTTCTCTTACGTACAAAATAAAGACATTCATGAAAATTTTAAATAATTTTTAGGGGTCGTACTACAGAAAAATATATGTATTTTTTACCGCAAAATTATTGTAAAATTCTGACTAGCTATAGCAAGTTTTGGTTCGATCAAAACAGGTGGTATTTCGCTCGACGCGTATTTTAATTTACTTTTCCACGGTGGACTGATTGGTATAAATAGGTGTGGTTAATTTAGTCATGAATTATCTCAAAAACCTGAACAAAAAATGTATTTTGAGCTCAGAAAGTCCATACCAAGTCTCACCTATACATTAGTTTCTTGGCCTTTTTTTCAAAATAATAATTTTTGAACGAGCGTTAAAGTAGTTAGAAAAAATTGGAAAAATGCTGCACTTATTTCGAAAAACTTGCTTGCGATTAGTACGTAGAAAAATATGCAAAGGTGCCGCATAGAACATTTTTTATGCTGATATTTTAAGAACCACCCTAATATTTTTTTCTGTTGCAAAGAAAATATTTCGTCCCGAAAAGAAAACAAACCATACCTTTCTTTGTTTTGGGTAGAAAAATTACTCTAATTATTCGCTAAATTGCAAAATTACACTCTGTACAATATACTATGTATGCATAAGAGCTACTGTCGCCTGCAGCAGCGTTCTTTAATATTTTTTTCCACTGCCAGCAGCAAATCTGCGTGTCCTTTACTACTAAATTCAGTTGACTTGCAGCATCTAAAGAAATGCTATCAAAGCTAAGACAGCACCACTCTTATATAAACACAGCTTCTACGCACATTCGCAAGCCGCTTAATGCCAACTTTGTCACTCATACGCCATGGTGCACATTTTCATTTGGCTAACAGCGCTGTTGCGTGCTGTCATTGCGAATGAGGAAATAAAACTAAAAAAAAGAAGCTAGATCAAGTACATTTGTATAATATAATGCAATATATGTGTATATATTTGCACAGTTCTGTATATTTGCCCAAAATCGCTATAAGAGCAAACGCACTCACAGCTACCTCTACATATGTATACCTGCCTCAAGTTCGTATGCATTTAAGTGCTTGCATGTGTGTGTGTGTTTGCGCTCGCTTGCTCTCTACCAAGGATTTACATCATCTCACTTGGTTTTATTAAGTTAAAATAGATGACTTTAAATAAATCTTAATTCATCCCCAACTGTCTTAAGAAGAGACGTTGTCAGCCACCGACTATCTGCATGAATATCTCGGGCTGCTATGCCCCGAAGAGGAGTAAGTTTTCATGTAAGCGTATCTGTTTTCCTGCCTGCATTGCCTCTTGCAGTTTGCCAACTAGCTGGTTGCAAGCACGATAGT